CTGAGATGTATGGGAGTGGAATGCCTCATCCTGGGAGTAGATGCGGCGGAGGCGAAGGAATTGGGAATAGTGGATGACATTTTTGTAGGAAGGTGGGTGGGAGGAGATGTATTCTAGGTAGCTGTGGGAGTCGGTGGGCTTGAAATGGATATCGGTTTCCAGGTGGTTGCCAGAGATGGAAACAGAGAGGTCCAGGAAGGAGAGAGAGGTATCAGAGATGGTCCAGGTGAACTTAAGGTTGGGGTGGAAGGTGTAGGTGAAGTGGATGAACTGTTCGAGCTCCTCGTGGGAGCATGAGGCGGCGCCGATACAGTCATCAATGTAACGGAGGAAGATGTGGGGTTTAGAGCCAGTGTTGCTATGGAAGAGGGATTGTTCCACATAACCTACAAAGAGGCAGGCGTAGCTGGGGCCCATGCGGGTACCCATGGCCACCCCCTTTGTCTGTAAGAAGTGGGAGGAATTGAAAGAGAAGTTGTTGAGGGTGAGGACGAGTACGGCTATTTCTGAAGGAGGGTCTAGGCCCAAAACGTCAGCCTTCCTGCTCTTCAGATGCTGCTTGGCCTGCTGTGTTCATCCAGCTCTACACCTTGTTGTCTCAGATTCTCCAGCATCTGCAGTTCCTACTATCTGGTGAACTCGATGGGTTTTTTTTCCCAACAATTAACAATGGATTCACAGTCATCATTAGCCCTTTAATTCCAGGTATTTATTAAATGCAAATGCTACGATCTGCTGTGGTGGGATTCGAACCCAGGTTCCCAGAATGTTATCTGGGTCTCTGGATTGACAGTCCACCGATAATACCACTAGGCCATTGCCTCCCCCTAGCCAATACTGTCCATGCTAAATGAATAAGTGATTTTTTTGGAGAAACAGTTATTTTGATTTCATGTTCTTCAGTCAATTTTTAATGCTTCCAAAGTTTTGCATTTTCTCTTTGATATGAAATGAGTTATGGCTTTCATCACGTTGGATTTACTCTGGTGATTTATGCCACTTCTAAGTTATAGCTGGGGCTTTTATATGTTAAAAACAAAGCAGTGTAGGTAAATATTACACACTCCAGGCAGTGCATTTTATTAACTGTCAAGAACACCAGGAAAGACTAGCTCCTTCTAAGCTGCTCCTTGGTGTCAATCCTGGCATAGTTAGTGATGCGTACACCCTGTGATTAGTATAAAACAAAAATTATGCACAATGTGATTATGAACTTGAAAACTTGAACTATAATTGGCATTTTCAGGGTGTTCATGGCAAATCTGATGATAGTGATTTACATTATCAGGTGTAACTTGTCAAAGCAACAAAGGTTCTGACTAAGTCACAAAGTATGACCGACTTATAGAAACTGGACAGTAAGGACAAGCTAGTTTAAACACAGATACACTTTACGAATTAATAGATATAGTATACCTGACACTGTAAATCAGTATCATGTGATTCACCATGAGCACCCTGGAAAATGCCAGTATAGTTGAGGTTTTCAAGCCCATGATCACATTCTGCATAACTTTGTTTTACAAAAATTCACCAGGGTGTAAAGCCTGCATTGATTGACCATCTCTCATTGTCTGGGGGAAGGTGGTGGTGGTGGAATTGTCTTCTTGAACTACTGCAGCCTTGGGTCTGTGGGTATACCCACAATGGGGTTAATGATAGAATTCCAGGATTTTGATCCTCTGACACTGAAGGAATGGTGACACATTTCCATATCAGGGTAGTCAGTGGTTTGGAAACCGACTTTCAGATGGTGCCATTCACAAACGTGTGTCGTCCTTATCCTGGAGGTAGTAGAGATTGAGAGTTTGGAAGGTGCATTTGAAAAGCCTGGGTGAGGTGCAGCAGTTCATCTTGTAGATGATAAACACCGCTGCCACTGTCAAGGCTGAAGTTGGGGGATAAGCTGCCAAGCAAGCATTGCAACTTAGCATTTTTAAAGAAGAGCATGTTTAAAGACAGGGAAAGATGGTTAGTTCTTGCCACATTTTCTGATGTTGTGATAGTCTCACATCCCTCCCCTAGCTGGTTTAACAACTCCCTAGATACATAACCATGATCTATGTTTTCTCTGGATAACAATTTGATTTCATTTCAGAAAATCCCTTAGATATTCCCTTTGGGCTTCTTTTCTCCTGGCTGTGGCAGATTTTCCCAAAGTGAGATATCATTGGTGAACGTTCTGATTGCTCAAATGCATTTCTGCAAATGTCACATTCTATTTTTGTCTTAGCTTTTACTGTAAACCATGTTTGAAATGATTTTGAAACAAAGGGAATATATTTGAAGATCTGTCATCATGAAGGGACCAAGCAGAAGGGTTTCTCCAGAGGAAAGAAGGTGCCCTGGAGCAATAAGCAGTTGGAGAAGATATCTCACAAAGTTTTCGAAAAGTAACAATTGTATTTTAACCTTTTAGATTCATCTGAGAATACCAATAAAATTACTGTATTTTTAATTTTACATTTTGTCTGATAGAATTTTCAGGCTGTTTTTAAAGTGTCATTTAAAAATTCGAGATAGATTTGCACAAAACTGTTTCTCGCAAACTGACTGAGTCGATTTAACCATATGTTTCTTTTCGATTAATGATTGCTTATTGTTGTTTTATTCATTTGTAACTGAGTAAGTCCATGCATTTATTTTTCGTTATTGTTAGGATGTAGGCATCACTTAGTAAAGCCAACATTTGTTGCCTATCTTTAATTGCCTTTCAGAAGGTGCTAATATCATTAAGGGATATAATTGTTGAAGAAATTCTGTCCACAGATATTCCAATACACTGCCTTGTGGTGCTTTTAGAGTCTACATTGTGTCTGTTCTTTCACAGGGTATGGTGCAGAAAGGAGATGGTAAGAAGAGTAGAAGAACTAGACACTAGCATTCTTACAGACTGCCCATGCAATAGCTGTAAAGAACATAAGGAAAAGTACCATCAATAGACCACTTGGCCCTTCAAGCCTTCTCCACCATTTAACAAGATCGGGGTTATTCTTCTACCTAAACTCTACCTTCCTGAACTTATCCTCCACACTTGACTTCCTCAGCCATTTTGCAAGCACAAAACCAGAGTCAGAGCAGCCTCTTATATCATTTACTCACAGACACCACTTTATACCTCCATTTTAAAATTCCTCCCCTTCTTCTTAGTTCTTACTTCACCCTCTCCCTGCAAAAAAGGCTCCACATTTGCATTCCCACATGGAGGTACCTATTATTGCAAGGCTCAAGCTGTACTGGGAGTGAATGACCTGATCTACGAGTGTTCAGCAAGGTTAATATATTATTCTGTCAATGCTTAAGCTGAGTTTTGCTCAGTGATCCTAGCATTTCTTGCATTTCTTTGTAAATTTCTATATGGAAACACATCATGATTATGATCGTTTTGATCATTTTCCTGCCAAGTACTTTCCCAGTTAGTAAATATTAATCTCATGTACAGACAAAATTTCTTGAAAATCTAATGGCATGTAAAGTGATTGAAGAAAATAAGAGTAATGACAATTATTGTTATAATAAACAATTATTACATTCTATATACACGGCTTTCCATCAGTGTTTTTTTGCTGAGTATTTAACAGCTCATTAAACTAGTCAGTTCTGGCTTACTGATCCAGTGTTTTAATGTGCTTTTCTTTTGCAAGGAATGTTCAATGCCTGTAATATTTCCAAAGTTCACAATTAGAGGCAGCTAATCCAGCAAGGAATTACATGCACGTTTGCCATTTAGTTATATAGAGACAATCTGAAGAGAATGGTTTACAGGTGGAATGTTGCAATCCAGTCCTCTTGGCAGAGAATCTTGATGATGGAAGCACAGGTTTGAAATTGGACTACAATGTATTTATGATGAAAATATGACCCTTTCTCTTTTCAAAACCAGCTTCCTACTTGCAGTGTTGTTATCCTTAAGAATACAATGTTTAACAAAATAACTCACCCTCTCTCCATCCAATAACAGGTGAACTCTGAAAAGGCTGGAGTTGTTCACTATGATCTCTTCATTTCTGTACAAGATCTGGAATATCTTGCTGTAGACTGTGTTGTCATGAATGAAGGGCTGACTGGGGACCAAATCACCTGCAAAAAAAAAACAAACAACCTAAGTGTATACAGAAACTAAACACATTTACTGCCTCAAATTAAATTCAGGCTACTATCAATTTCTGAAATTACTTGAACTCCTAACTGAAAGAGAATTCTTAAGAACAGTGAAAGACCAAAGACATACAACAAGCTTATATCTTTATTACCAAGATCCACATATTTTCCAGTTTAGTACCATAGTTTAACAATCCCCTCTCCTTCCAAAAAAAACCTTGAACTTGCTTATTTTTGTGCTGTCTTTGTCGGTGATTTTCCCTGACCCAATGTTGGGAAGAGAAAAAGGGAAGGAATGCCCAAAAGACATGTCTGAAGGAAACCCTGGGTCTATTACTGCGTTTTAAACACTTTGAAAGGTATGTCTGCCAAGAGGACATAGAGACGCTGGTAAATGCTAATCATAACGCTCTACATTTTGTGGAAAACATAAAATAAAATCAGAATGCCAAACTATTTCAATGGAGTTTAATACTGCAGCTCAATCTCTTAAAGATTATCCACAATGCTGGGAAAAAAAAACTTTGTTCTGAATTATCTGAGTAACAAGATGCTAAAAAGAACTGCACTTCTTGAACTTAAACAGTGAGTGCATGCAAATGTGATTTTTTCTTTCTATATGTTACGACACCTTGTAATGAAATTCATTTATAAACTACTATTCATTTAACCAAAGGATGACAGTGTTATGAAGCGATGTGATCTAATTATTTTTAAATGATTATATTTTTTATACAATTATGGGATGTAGGTGTTGCTAACTCAGCTAACATTTATTGTGATTCTAATTTGGCTTCTTGAACCACTGTAGTCCATGTTATGTAGGTAGATGCATAATGCCATTAGGGAAAGAATTCTAGGATTTTGACCCAACAATACTTTCGTAATGTTAATATATTTCCAATCAGATGGTGAGTAGCTTGGAGGGGAACTTACAGGTTCAATATCTTGAAATTTTAAACAGAGGATACTTTGCTCAGGACAAGGCGCTGGGCACAACAATGATGATGTTGCACCTACAAGGAGCAAGAAGCTTGGCTGGAGTCATTTTGTTTGTGAGATTTTCATAGAGACGTTGCATGGCCCATTGTGTATGTGGAATAAGACCAATGCATTTCTGAACTCAGTCAGATAGATAATTTGGTTTACCCAAACAGCAGCACTCCATTGTTCCCTCTCCGTTCTTTGTAACTCCTTTCAGTGAAATGTGTGGACTAATCCTCGTGAAAGTCATCATCACAATGCAGAGAGAGTTTGTCAAGTGGATTTCTTTACAACTACTCATCATTTCCAGAAAGTCTCATCACTACCAGTAGCTAAATAATTTCAAACACAGGTCAGTATTATAACTGAGATTGCACTCTGCCAATGTTGCTGCAGTCCCACTAATCCATGGGTCTCAACATAAAAATACTTTTTATTTCCCCAGTTATCAAGATTGCCTTATCTATATGAAGTTTTAAACAAAATGAACTATCATTTTGGTTTCTTAATAAATCTATTCAATAATGACATAATTATGATTTAAAATACAGCCAGTACTATGCAGGTATAATTATATATCCCTCCAAATATTCCGAAAACATTCAAACTCATGTATACTTAAAAGAAATGAGGAAAAAGAAAAAAAAATAACTTCAGAAAAAGGTTTTCTGGGGTGAAAAAAAGCCAATGGATTATTCTTGAAGGCAAAAAGGATAAAATGTACAATGCTCCTGAGTCTGTTGCTCTAATGTTCAGGCGAGAGTGGCAGAGTCACTAGTCATGCACGGTTGTCTCTGAAGTTCTTCAAATATAGCCTTCTCAGAAATCTTCCAATGCTTCTTCAACTAATCCTTTGAGACAACAAATGGGTTCCTCTCTCCCAGAACCCAACAAGGTAATTTACTTTCCAGAAATAGGAGAGATTAACTGTGCAGCTCATTCTTAGCAAACTTTCCTTCAAACCAGCTTATACTTAGCAGGCTTTCCTCCAATTCAACCACATAAAACAGGTCTCTCTGCAAGCTAGTCACTGTTTAAAAACATTCTGAACTGTTGGAAAAGAAGTAGTTATCATTGGTCACGTGATTTATAGAAAAACTTCAATGCCCACAGTGAACATATGGTTACTTTTTTAAAAGAAACTGCTCACTGATATTTCTACAAAACTAGAAATAAATCCATTTTCCTCAATTTTTCCAAAATGTAACTCCACCAAGCAAGAATACATATAAACTGTCTTTGCAACAACACCATTGGACATAAAACTACATTAAATTCAAAATGTTAGAGACTTTTTATTTATTTCTCCTCAGACTTGTATCTGAGAATGTGTGTGTGTGCTAGTTTTCTTTCATTGAAAGTTTTAAGATACATTCAAAATCCAACTGTTTGTCAATAATCTTTGCATCTTTGTTTGACTAAGTTGGAGCAATTGTTTGCTGTTGACTGAAGAAACCTGGCTAACTTGTTCTTGATATGATCCATGATGCAGTCTAAGACCTATGTAATTAGCCATATCATCAATCTGGGAAAATTTAACATTTGTTGTGATCAGAGGAGGTGTGGGACTAGAAAAGGAAATAACGTACCCCTCCAACCTCAGTTGTAACACAGCCTTATATTAAATTATAGCTCTGTGAAATCTCAAAGGAATGAAACATAAATAATCATAAAGCTCATGGCTTGTGTTCAAATTATGACAAGACATGACTGAAATATGTGATGGCATACAGCAGCAGGTTGTGGTTTTCTGCCGATGATTCCTCATGCCATGGATTTGAGTGTCAGGAAAATTCCCCAAGTCCATAAAAATCGCTGATGGGATACAGATTCAAAAATCCATTTCTGGACAAATCCTTATTGGCAGTGAGGGAAAAAGAACAGGCTGTAATTTGCACATTCAATATCAGAAAGTTGGTGGTCCATCTAAAATGAGCTGAGAGTTGAAACAGACTGAACTCTGATTGTTGCCAGTGCCTTATCCTCGGTGTGATGGAGTAGAAATGAATGCTCCTGCAGGGCAGATAATTATCGTGTTTTGGAGTTATGTTTTAAAATCACCTGCTCTATAAACTTTAATTAAAAAAGCCGTAGCTGATAATGATAGTTTAAAAAAAAACAACGGTTTCATTGTTTGATTTGCAGAGGAAGGTTAGAAAAAAGGGCCTCTTGCCATATTTTGATGAGTAATTTGGTGACATTTTTCCAAGAGTTAATTTTATGCCATAATGAATGCTTGGCGGAGTTAGAAAGGCTTCTATTTTCTCAGCAGGGCTTTCCGAGTTCACAGTGTAACTGACAGCTCGGGGAGAATATTAGAGGATGAGCTATTGTTTATGTTGAAGCTCAAACAGAAATATGTTTCATTTGAGATTCATTACTTGAAGATATTTGAAGTTTCTGCCCCGTTTTATGAATGGGAATTTTATTCATGATTAATTATGTAACTGTGACAACATATTGAATTGTTAACATCACATGATTCCTGAGGTCTTTTCACAGGGGATAGACTGGAAAATATCCATTATGACTTGGACCCCAAGAATAAAACATGGCAACATCCTCTGTCAGGCTGACAGCATTGCTACTCCAGGCTCTGCTGTTCCACCAGTATAATTAATTCTGCCCTTTATCCGCCCAGGCCAGACTTGTTTGAGACGGTGCAGTTCAAAGTTGGATCCCGCAATGCTTGAAGTTAAAGTAATCCATGGTCTCCCTAACCGAAAGTCGACAGTGTTCCACCAGCCACACTGGGGTAGTATTGCTTAGTCCTGAAAATGCAAAGTGATATGTAGGGTTAATGAACTGATATCTGTATGCAAATGGAATGACACGTTCAATTTGAAAGTTCTGTTTTCTGGAGGATTTTATGTTTGTAATATAACCGAGCGAGTGCTGCAATGGTCAGTGATAAAGGTGTTGGACTTAGAGAGTTTGGATTCATTTACTTGTGTGACAGTTAGATGACTCATTGTTATGGTCGTCTCCTCCTCATCATCATCATCAGCATCAGCATCTTGGTGCTGCACAGTTGGTAGCAATTTAGAATTTAGCCTCATGAGGCTAATAGTGTGCAGGAGACAGCCAAGCACTGCAGGACTAAGTCATAGTTTTGCTTAAACATCCAATGGTCTGTTCTATCATCTGTGTGTTGGAATATCTTCTAATATTCGCACACTATCCACATGCAAGCGGATACAACAGCTATGTTATATTCCTTTTTCACCCAGTAGCTACTTTCTGGCTTGTCGTGGTGGGTAAATTGAACATCTGAACATGGGACATCAGTCTGCCTCAATGTCAGCACATGATGTCTGCCATGACCAGGCATTGACCTGTAGAATGGAGTGTTGATTGTCACCAGTTATGAAGGAAGTAAAATCCCTTTCAGCTATGGTATATTTTAGGTTGGCAGGTTGTTGCCTCACAGTTAAATCCACACAATGACACACTGCATCAAAAAAAAAGCTATTAACTCTATTTTAAGTTGATTGATATTACAATCTGCATAATTCGAGCAGATGCTCCCTGAATATTGGCTGAAGTTAGAACTAGAAGTAATCACAATTCTGTGGATGCAAATGTACACACAGTGCTGAAAAAAAAACTAGCCTTCACACGGCCACACAATGCAGCCTGAGTGTTCTGTTAATTTTATGGAATAACAGCTCAAGCTGTTTATCAGGTGGAGAAGATTAATTAAAGAACATTAAATGTTTTTTCAGTGTAACGAGTTAGACATTAAAATTCTTCCTTCCTTTACCTCATTGGAGGTGATAATCCATTAATTACAATAGGTCAAAAAGAGGAATTTTACAATTTATTTTTCCCATATTTGTATGCCAGAATACCATGAATATAATGTCAGTTCCTGTGATGCTGTTAGAATCTTGCTCTAATTTCTTTCCTATAGATCTTCCCAACTGTGTATCAACTATTCCTGGATTGGGGGATGGATGATCTCCTGCCAATTTCTGCTAACACTACTGCTAATC